TCTGGGCCCCACCCAGAGGGGCGTGTCCCCGCCGCCGGCGCCCACCCTTACTCCTCGCCCGGGTCGGGGAGAGTAGTAGCCCCTGCTCAGCAATGGCCCCCGCGTGGGCCCACCCAGGGGACCGCAGCCACAGGAGGGCCTCAGTCTCAGAGCTGGGGTCAGCTCTCTCGGCTTGCACCAAACACACCCACTGGAGGGGGCCAGCCAGACCGGATCTCTCCACCTGACGGTGGGTTCCCACGCGCTCTCTTTCCAGCTGCCTGGACGCCAGCTTCGTAGCTCATTAGCTTTTTCCAGGAGCGCTGCTGAGATTGAGAGAGGAAGGACCTGGCAAGGTCTGCACGCTGTGACCAATGCGTCCACACCAAAGACAGGGAACTGGATGGGCCTGCCTTTTAGACAAGGTCCTCCAGGCCTCCCCACAGACCGGCATTCGACTTCACACCTCCAGAGCGGCAGCACCCAGACCTCGTCGGGGTCGGACAGCGGCCTCTGGACAAGGCAAGGCGTCCTGCTTGTTCCCGGCAGTGCCGCTCGCCACGGTGCCAGATGCGGTGGGGAAACCAGCGCTCCCCAGGAGCAAGGAGCCTGTGGGTGGGAGCCCAAGGAGCAACAGAACCAAGGAGCCTCTGAGGACGCTGCACAGGCCTGGCCACCCAGGTCAGCGAGGAGATCACGGAAGGCCATGGGGGAGGTGAGCGCGTGGCCCAGAGCAGCTCCAAGACCCAGAGCAGCAGGACAGTGGAGCGCGCCTCACTCCTGAGTGGGACGGGGGATGGAGGTGGAGGAGAATGGAGAGCCTGCCAGGAAGACAGAGCCAGCGGATAGCCCAGGGCCCGAGGGGCAGAGAGGCCGGGGCGCCCGGACACTCGCTGGAGTCTTGGAGGGAGGGGGCCAGAGGGTGGGCCACAGGGAACATCACACAGCATGAGGCCTAGACCTCATCAAGGGCCTCAAGCACCTACCTCTGTCCCCCTGAGCACTGAGCTTATTCCGTCCAGGTTGAACAGAGGTGCACCTCGTCCCTGCTGCAAGCGGTCCTGCACCCCCAGGTGCCACAAGGCGGCCAGGTGAGGAGGCCGGGTGGGCGGGAGGGGCCTTTGTCTAGAGAAGAGGCCCTCAAGCAGAGGGTCCAGATTCCGGGGCCTGTGGGCCCTGCAGGGGGCTGCCCTCGCTCACAACCCGCTCTTAGACTCCTGGGAGGTCTGCTCCCCTCTGTCCCCGCATGTTCTCAAACACACCACGTGTTTGTGCGGTGCCGAGGGAGCCCCGTGAGCCATGTACTAGACCTCCGCCTAGAGCGTACGCATCTGGCTGCGAGGAGGGGGCAGGATGAAGCCTCCGAGATTCTGCCCGTGTCACCTTCCCGGGGGCTTCCCTGGACCACCCCAGGTAAGAACCTGCCTGTCCACATGACCACTCACTGAGTGTGCTTGGCCCTGCCCTCTGCAGGGACACCTGTGTGCCCATACCAGGGCCGAGCGTCTGGCACCGAGGCGAGCAGCACTGCCGGGAACAAGTAGGCCCACGCCTCGCCTTGTCGAGGCCGCCGTCCCAACGAGGTCTGGGTGCTGTCGCTCTGGAGGTGTGATGTCGGAACACCGGCTTTGGCTCTGTACTGCTGGTGGCTCCGGGTCTGGGGAGGCCCATCAAGTTCCCTGTCTTTGGTGCCGCTGCATTGGCCCGAAGCCCACGGCACCGGCGCCTTCCGCCCAGAGGCAGTGCCATGCACGCTGTGGCTGGAGGTGGCTGCCCAAGCCCCTGGAGGGTAGCTCAGTGCCCCCCTGCTCTCTGCACCCACCAGGCAGGTGTGGCAGCTCCCACTGTATCTCAGCACCAAGAGGCCGCCACAGCCTCCAGCCACGTGAGGCTGTTGCCCCCCCCAGGCGGGTGTGGCAGCTCCCACTGTATCTCAGCACCAAGAGGCCGGCACAGCCTCCAGCCACGTGAGGCTGTGACCATTGGCACAGGCGTGCCCTGCCCTGGGTGCCGCCCGTCTGGAGCGCAGCTTTGAAGCAGCCCCTTACGGGTGGGGTGAGGAAAGGGCAAGCTGGTACTTGACCTCGCCAGTTTCTGTCTCCTCTCTGTCCCCAGGATGGGGTGATGAACCAGGGCCTGTGGGGGTGCTGAGGAAGTCAGGGCGCACCAAGCGGCCAGGGAAGCCAGACCCCCTCTCTGACCATGAAGCCTGTGGCCTTGCCATGGTCTACTTTGGACGCAGACGTCTGCCCAGGGTCCTGCATCTTCTGATTCTTTCTGCAGCACTCCCCGCTCCCGCTTAGCTGGGCTGCCTGGGTTGACGGGAGAGCAGCTCGCAGCCGGAGAAGCGGGGGAGCCGGGAGCATGTTAGCAACACAGTCCCATCGCTGTAGAGGGCCCGGTGCTGTCCCCAGGCTGTGTGCAGAGCCCCGTTGTATTCACAGCCACCGCGGGAGTTAGTGCGATCATGCCCCAGAGGAGAGGAGGCCCTTAGGGAGGCCCTTGCCAGAGTGTGGCTAAGCGTGGTGCCGGGCTTTGCATGCAGGGCTTTAATCTTACAGCCTGTGCGCTGACCCTCTAAATACACTTCCTTCACTTTTTCAAAAAATTAAATTAATTATTATTTTTAATTTGTTATAGGGCACACGTGCTCACCAATGAAAGAGGGGAAAAAGAGAGAGGGCAACAGGAAGAAGTCAGCCTCCAGGTCCACTCGAACCAGTCGGCCACGTGGGAGTCTAGTGCCTTAACCATCATGCTGTATGCTCGCTCGCTCTCTTTTTTGGTTCGTTTGTTTATGTTTGTGTTTTAGTTGCCAAAGGGTATATGTCCCTGCTGGAGGGGTGGAGAAAGAGGAGAAAGCGCACACCCACTGGGCGACAGCCCTTCTCTTCCGCTCCCCGCCACTGTGGCTGGGCCGGCGGGGGGGGGGCCCGCCCCCGCCGGCGACACCCCGCCTTCCCCTCCCCCCCCCCGCCACTGTGGCTGGCCAGGCGGGGGCCGGCCCTGACCCGCAGGCTGCAGAGCCAGCCTGAGCTTCATCTGGCTTTTGTGTCCCAGGGCCTTAGTTGCAGAGGGGTGTTCTCCGAACCCGGAGGATCGGAATCTCCAAACCTGTTTTGGTTTGAAACTCAACGCAGTGAGCAGCCAGAGTGGAGCTTGGAGATGGCGCCTGAGTGTGAGGCCCCCTTGTCGCCGGGAGGCCGCTAGCTGCCTGGCCAGGGCACTCAGCACCCGCGGGGCAGGTCGCCACAGCCTGCTGGCCTTCCTGGTCTTGCTGCCTGGTCTGACGGCCCGTGTGGCTCTGGGTGGGCACTGCTCACCTCTGGCCAGCTGCCGTGGATGGTGCCCATCCAGCATAGTCACAGATGGCCTGGGCACCCCGGCTGGCCCTGCCCAGGTCTGAGACCCCGCTCCCAGCTGCACTCCTGCCATGCAAGCACTTCATGGTGGGCGTTGGCACCTTGGGGACAGGTACAAGTTGGGGAGGAGAGGGTGCAAGTTGGCAGTTGGAGTTCTTGGCTCCCCACTGCTGTCATGGGAAACCTGGCAGGTTAGGGTCCCCAGGACCCAGGTTCTTGGTCTGTGAGACCTGAATGGACCCATGAGCTGCGAGGGGCTGGCCGAGATGACGTGGTGCCACCCTGCCCATCTCTCCTAGGGGACTGACTCTGGAGAGGACACGAAACGCTGCTACTGCTGCTGGACCCTGAAAGGTGAGTAGCCGTGGGACGGGAGGGAGGGAGGAGGTGAAGAATGGCCCATGATGGTGTTCGTGCCCTGCTGCTCCAGTACCAACCCCAGCGGAGAGTGGGCGAGTCTCACGACTGTGCAGTGGCACAAGGAGAACCCACCGTCTCCCCGTACAGGCTCAGGAGAGTGCCCCCCTGCTCCCCCACCTGTCTGGGGCACTGCCCAGGAGGAGGTAGGCAGGTGGGCCCCGAGACCCTGTGGGATGCTGCTTTGCCGCAGAGGAGTTGGGCTCTGGGTCGGCGTGTGGGGCCTGCAGGACACCTCTCCTGCCAGTCTCCCCCTTCCGGCCTGCAGGGGTGTGGCCCCAGCTGTGTGGAACTGCATGACTCAGAAGGGCCCTGGCTTCCAGCTGGAGGACCAAAAAAAGGCCACAGGAGCCGGGGTGTGTGTGCAAATCCCAACAGCAGGAGCTGGAAGAGGGGGCTCTTGCTCCATTCAGGACCCAGCGTCAATCTTGGGCTCGCTCATGAGCCGAGTGGCGCCAGTGAGGGGAAAACAGAGAGCACACAAAGCTGCAGACTGGAACTAAGAGTGCATGGGGGCATGGCCCATGGTTGTCCTAACTGAGGGCCGGCAAAGCCAAAGGGGGCAGGCCACATGGCACAGAGCCCACGGCATGTGTCTGGTGACACCTGAGGTGTGACTCCACATCCTCAGCCCTCTGAGAGCTGAGAATCCGACCAAGTTCCAGGAAAAGACAAGCAACAGACGGCAAGGCCATGCTGACCCTGGCAACCAGACCGTCGGGAGACCTCGGGGCAGCCATTCCACGCGTCCTGCCCAGGCCACCCGAGGCGAGCGGGAGGACGCTCAGCAGACACATGGGAAGAGGGCCGCGCCGACGTGGGGCAGGGACAGGTACCAGGCGTGAAAGCACACTAAGCTGTGCAAAAGCTCGGAGATTGCAGGGGACGGTGAGTAGCGTCAGAGCGGACCAGCAGGA